CCCCCCATCTGAGATCGAGTGTGTCCGGTATTTTTTTGAAACCATCTGGTTACCCTATAAGTAGGAGCAGCAACAGCAACACAAAAGCTTACAAAAGAAAGCTGTAGAAAGTAGCTTCAGGTGAATGCCACAAACAATAAAGGTAGAGATAATGGGTGATGGGTGAAGGCCCAGTCCTTCCGCCTGAGGCCCCACTCCTGCAGCATCTTCTCCTCTGGAGCCATCCGGTATTTTTTTGAAACCATCTGGTTACCCTATAAGTAGGAGCAGCAACAGCAACACAAAAGCTTACAAAAGAAAGCTGTAGAAAGTAGCTTCAGGTGAATGCCACAAACAATAAAGGTAGAGATAATGGGTGATGGGTGAAGGCCCAGTCCTTCCGCCTGAGGCCCCACTCCTGCAGCATCTTCTCCTCTGGAGCCAAGCCCCACCCAGTCCCAGCCCAATCTTTCCTAGCTAGCAGCCCCAACCCTCCCAGGTGGCCAGGGAAATGGGCTGTCTCAGCCCTAGCCTTCCTGGGTGGCTGAGGCACATGGGCATTTTTTGGGAAGGCAGTGCCTTTTCTTGCCTATGTTAGAGGCATAGCATGGTAGGGCAGGCTGCCCATGGTAGAGATCGAACCGAACCCAGCTCCAGGAAGGAAGGCTGATGCAAAGAGAATGAAGAGCTTTGGTTGATAGTTCAAGGCTGCAGCAGAAAGAAGGAAAAGATTTTACTTTGGGGGTATGTTTGGACTCAATGTAGACACCAGAGGGGACTTTGAACTGTGCAGTTATTTAAAAAGTTCAGAAGAGAGTTAACTGAGAAGGGAGTCTGCAGAGCTACCTCAAGGGAAGTTGAAAGGTTGGTGCTTGTGAGTGCCACTTTGTGACACAAGGCAAAGTTACAAACTTCGTAATCTGAGTTGCTTACAAAGTCACTGTCACTTTTGAAGGGGGTCAGCTGCATGAGGATTGAAGAATGACTTTCTTTTTTTGGTTTTCACAGGGCCATGTAGGAATTGTTCTTGCTCACATGTTGCCATCATGTCAGGTAAAGTTTCAATAAACTACAGACAATGCAATCATCAGTATTTGATCATTCACAACTTTTGTTAAAAAAAAGCCACTACAGGGTGTCCCCCCTATAAGTTGCCTTGGTATACATCCATTCCGCACTAAAGTCATTGGCGCTTGTAGGAACTGATGGTTATAAGTCCTCCCATTCTCGCTCTTAAGTTGCACAAAAAAAACCCCAATTTGTGCACATTGAAGTCAGCTGCAGGGAAAAAAATCCTCACCTTAAGTCATTTTGCTATAAGTCCAAGTTTTTTGGAACATATCTTTGGAACAGTGAGGATGGCCTGATGGAAATCACAGTCGGCTAACAGTAATGCTATAGTGGCTTTACATATATACTCTAGTGAGGGGCTCTGAATTTGTGCATACATCAGTATTTGTTGTATTGCAGAATTGTGGGTTATCCCTATTCAGCAAAGCACATAAGTACATGTTTAAGTTCTCTGCTGAATTGAAGTGTTGAATTGAATATTCTCTGGAAAAGCAACTAGCCCGCTTTTCTGACCAATCCTAGGATGTGGGAAGAAGTCTGGCTAACCAACATATATTACATGCACTAGTGAAGGCAGCCCTGTCCTAAATCTTGAGAGGATGTTTCCTTCAGCAATTCTTGAGGCTCCAAGTGAACCTCAAAGAGTTGATTCACTTCTAGCCACTTGCAACAGGGTTCGGGTAAAAAAATCACATTGGGAACTAAAACCTGTAGCCACTCACCCGCTCGATTTCCTCAAACTTGCGTGGAGATTAGATTCAGTCTAAGAGCCCTTTGTTTTCCGTTTTAATTTTATTTAATTTTTCCAGGGCATTTATTGGTGTGAACAAGTGAATATTGGCATAAAACTATTAATTTTTTGGATAAAATATTGGGGGGAGGGCAGATGGAAAGACAGGGAAAAAGTAATCAATAGATTAATACTTTGATGAGTGGAATTCAGTGTGGTTTGCTGCAGAACTAAAACAGAACTCAAAACACAATGCTACCTCTGACTTTAAGAAAACGATATATTCCTAATCCCCAAATAAAGCATAAACAGTTTACTGTTGTAGACATAGAACTATTAGTCTATAAATATTTACATTTAATAAGTGAGCCATGCTACTTACAGCACGTACACTCAACTTCATCCTTTTCTTATGTTTTTGGTTTTTTTATAACTTTTGAATACTTCCGTGTGTGCTGAACCATATTTTGATTCAGATTTTCATTTTCTTCCCATTTTAGTGTGTCAGACCTTTAACCATTGTTTGCTAACAGCTTGAAATGTATACAGGGTGGGTGTGAGATTCATCAATACATTCTGATGTGCATGCACTTCAGAGTTTGTGTGTGTGCCTGCTTGTTTTTTGTGCACATCTTCTAGACTAATCCAGAGCCTTCCTTCAACAGGCAGCTTTGCATATACACAGACTAATGTATTGTCATAATACATGTATCTCATGCAGTGTATTGTATTTTCCCATTAAAACTGTGTGTGTGTGTGTGTGAGAGAGAGAGAGAGAGAGAGAGAGAGAGAGAGAGAGAGAAAATCACAAACGTAGAATGAACATTGGAGGAAAAAAATAATACTTTTTGTAAAACCTGGGGTTTTTTTTAGTAAAAATGAGTTTAAACTGAAAACAAAGGGATTTACTTATACTGGATATAATTGCTGTGTTAAATCCCTTCCAGGTTTATTACATTTCAAAGAGCTAAGAATTAGTACTAGTATTAGTATGTTCTGTTCTAACAGTGCCTTAGCTCAGATTAGCCATCATGCACAGTGAAGGAATAGGACAGAGATTACATCAAGAATAACCATTTAAAAAGTGATAGAGTTTGGAAGGCTACATCAAAAGAACAAGATGTTATCATCTGGCTTGGTATATGGTGTGGACAAAGCAAAACTATGAGTTACAGAATTGAAGGTTAATTTAAGATATCTCTGTAAAGTAGTTGTCAGGGAAATGTTTTAATCCACTATTGGGGATTTGAATGGTTAACCAGTTAACCAGTAAGCTTAACAGGTGATGCTTTCTGGTTCCGGTTAACTGATAGGAGGTGGAGCAGCTTCCTGCCACGGCGGGCAAGGGGCTGCTCCAGGCCCATAGGGCCTGCCACAGGCAAGAGATTCTCTAGCCCCTTCCTCCCCTCACAGTGGGGGTGAGGATCGCTCCAGCCCTGCTCCTGTCCCCTCTACTCAGTTAACTGATTAAAAATTCTGTCTAACCGGTTAACCAATTAAATGGGATTTTATATCCCTACAAGCAATTCCTAATTGAAAAGTCTACTGATGTTATACAGTTTTGAGTATTTTTATAATCAAAACAGCAAATATTAAGTATGTAGTGATTTTTTTCATATATTTGTGTGTTTCTTGGTTGTGAAAGGAGCAAACTAACAATATTTGAAACTGCAGAATCCACAAGAACACTTCAGGGCAACAAATAATCCCTGTCAATTCTTGACTGAAAGCACTGATTTTTAGAGAAAGAAGGTTAGATATTCAAATGTCAAACTTAGTGCAGGAGATAAAGAGGAACTAGTAAGTTGTATTATAGTGTGTCATTAAACATGTTTCTGTAATGTATTTTTACAAAACAATGTTTCTCTCACACACAAAAACAACCTCCTACCAGCACTGTATCTTTAGTTTCTAACATTTGCAAATGTTAGAATATAAAAGTTTAGCTAGTCCCAAATAGTTGTGGAAATTGACTGCAAAAAGAAAAAAATTTTGTTTAGAAAAACCAGACACATCTGCCAGTCACTTGGTACTAGTAAATATTGAGCACCTTCCATTTATTTCACTAGAATGTTGCTTTTTAAGAGATCTCTTCACTGGTCTCAAGAAATTAAATAAATATTTTGCATCAAAATATTTGTACTGTATTGAAAATATCATTTTATTTTGATTTTAGAGCAGTATTACTGACTTATTTTCTTGCATATGGAATCCAGGTGGTGCTGATAGAAAATAAGGAGTTGTCACTGGTACGTGCTAAAGACAGAAGTGATGAATTAGGATTGCACAACATTTGGTTTATTCAAGCAAACCTGGACTATTTTAAAGGAACTTTTAATATTGGGGTAAGTGGTTGAAAGTGTCTACTGATTATTGAGAAAAAAATGCTTTCTTTCTGAAGGTGACTAAGTATATTCAAAAACATTTCCCATACTTGGTATTATGAAGCCAGGCATTTCTGATGCTATACAAACTCTTGTTCTGTTAGCAGGAAATCATCTTTGAATTTTTTAGACTTAGACAATAAGATAATATTATCATCCTGTTCTTAGTTATTTGTTGAGTGATCAAATTATTCTCTTCAATGTGCAAAACTCATATGAGAAAGATGTTCTTGTTCCAAGGTATTCAGTGTCTACGGGTACATCTTGACTACGTGCCTTTTTCGAAAGAGGCTTTTTCAAAAAATACTTTTGAAAAAGCTTCTTTTGAAAAAGAGCATCTAGACTACAGCCAGTACTTTCGAAAAAGCAAGCTGCTTTTTTGAAAGAGCGCACAAAGGCAGTCTGGATGCTCTCTTTCGAAAAAGCATAGTTTGCATTACATAGCGCCTTTTTTCAAAAGAGCACTTTCCAAAAAAAGGCGTTATTCTTTGTAAAACAAGGTTTTCCACAGTCAAACAAACTGCCGCATTCTTTCGATTTACTTTCGAAAGAATGCAGCAGCAGTCTAGACACAGGGGAAGTTTTTTCGAAAAAAGGCCACTTTTTTCGAAAAAACCCTATAGTCTAGACACACCCTAAGAAAATAATTAAAGTAAATCTTAGCATTGGGGAGATGCATCGTGATGTAGAAAGGCAAATGTTTTTGTTTGTTTTTAATTAATTACAGCACTTCAAGGTTAGAGTGGCTCATTAAAGAACAGTACTTTGAGGAAGGGTTTGAAGCTGGAAGGGCAATATTCACCGCACCAGGGCTCAAGGTAGCGTGAAATGTGCAGCATGGAAGATGATGAAAAGAAGTTACCTATATACTGTGGTCGTGTGAACTTCAGAAATATTTTCAGTAGAGAAAAATCAGAAAAGGATGCTAAGGGGTAGTCAAGTATAAAGCGTTTTCAGAGTAAAGTGAGTAGAGTGGGGTGGGCAAAATCCAGTCTGCTACAATTCTCTTGTCCCACAGCTGAGCAGGACCTGGGGTAGGCCCCCTGCATCAGGCTTCCTGCCTGCTGCTGTCCCTAGCATGCCACTCCAAGTGGTTGGCTTCTAGGGGCAGCCTGTGAGTCCCCACATGGTGCCAGAAACCGCCCAGTGAGAGCTGCCTGGGCCATGCTTGTGTGTGTGAGCAACTCATAAGGCAAGATCAGAGTGGAGATATGAAAGGCCTCAAAGGTCAAGACCTTTAAAGAACTTATATTTGATGCTAAATTTGAGAAGGAATGAGTAGATATGTATCACACTGAGTGAGAGGGAAAAGCTTACATTTTAAAGGCTCAGACATTATACTAGGTATGTAAAATCCCATTTAATTGGTTAATCAGTTAAACATAATGTTTAATTGGTTAATTGATTAAAGGGGGATAGAGGCGAGCCACTTAACAGGAACTGCTCCTGTCATGCTAGAGCGCCCCTGCCTGCAGCACACTCAGGCTGGGCCTGCCACCAACAGGTTGCTGCTGCGGCCAGATTGAAGAGCCTCCGACGTATGGTGGGCAATATGGGGCTTGATTATGTAAGTTATTTACTCAGAAAACTTAGTAAAGAATCAGACTCAAATTATCATCTGTTCCTCAAAGGCAAAATAAATGTACTGCAGATACTTCACATTACATATATTTACAATTTACTTCATAGGTACTAATAATGTCCTGCTGACAAAATTATTATAATTTGCAAATAGTGAAATGATGGATGTTAAACATGGCATAACAACCCAGGAGTATGGTTACACAGAAATAAAACGGTATAGAAATAATTGACAACTGATATGGTTCTTGAAAGGTTCTAGAAATAATCTCTCAACTCTAATAATTGTGCATACCCTAAATATGGTTGATTAAGAAAGAAATATTTTAAGTTTCTCCAGGCATATCATATGGTATAGTTCATCAGATTGCATCACAGCAGCACAGGCAGTATAGATTACTTGACAGTATTTACAGATAGAACATTTTAAACCAATTCACCCCCACTCAAATATTCTTTAAGCATTGTGTAACTTTGTTGTGTTTAATGAAATATTCCTGGTTGAGACTGTCATTGGCCGTGGCTTTGAGGATAAATGCAGCAGCAAGCTGTTCAGTTTGTTGTGGACATCCAGATGAATACTAAATTAAAGGTTTTTTTTTTGTTATCACTGAAGAAAATAACCTGTCATTGTTCATTTTGTTGGTGTAGGTGATATTCTTGGAACACAAGGAAGAGGCAAAAAACTCTGACATTTTATATACACCTAGCAAAGAAGTCTTGATCTCTTTAGATTTTATTAGTGGGGAATGTGTTTATCTGTCTTCAGATAAAGTTGTGGTGGTCTGTTTAGCTGCTAACTTATTGTTAACTTACATTTGAAAATGTGAAGCTAAGAATAACTTCTCCTAATTAATTCCTCTTATTCGTCAGATCAAATTACAATATTCTAAATGCAAGGAATAGTAATAAACAAGGTTACAAAAATGTATTTTAATAAATGATCTTGTTCAGCGGTTCTAAAACTGTGGGTCAGGACCCAAAGTGGGCTAGAACCCCACACCAGGGCTGGCTTAGAGTGGTCGGGGATTGGAGCCAAATCCTGAGCCCAACCACCACCATAGGTGTCAGGGCTAGGTTACAGCCCCCTGCCTCATGGAACTCAGGCTTCAATTTCCTTCTGAGTTCAGGCAGTAATTTTTGTTAAAAGCCGACTTCCCATGAGCACTGGCTCATCTCTGCCTCCTCATGTGTAAATGTGTAACCCACTAAAATTTCAAGCAGTTACACATTTACATAAAAACACATAATGTCCCTAGTCTAGACATGTACCATCACTGCATCATCTGTGTTGCTTCCTATGTTTGGGAAAGTTCCTGAGACGACATATTATTTTGGGAGTGTTCTGTATTCTTTAAGGACTACAGACAGTCCCCGGGTTACGTAGAAGATAGGGACTGTAGGTTTGTTCTTAAGTTGAATCTGTATGTAAGTCGGAACTGGCGTCCAGATTCAGCCGCTGCTGAAACTGACCGCAGGTTCTGACTTACATACAGATTCAACTTAATAACCCCAAGTCAGCTGCTGCTGAAACTGATCAGACGCTGATTT